TGCTATCTAGCGAGTCTGCGGCCAGCCCATGCCGAACAGCCGCAATTGCTTGTCGAAGGCCTTCGCCCAGTAGATGCTGTGGCACCAGCAGACTAATCATCAAGAAAGAGTCATGGACATCTTGGTTCACATCGTACGTGGTGCCGTGGACGACCACCTGATCTGGATCATCGCGAGGTGCGATCTGTGGCTCAAGGTCTGGAGCTGTGCTATCTAGCGAGTCTGCGACCAGCCCATGCCGAAAGGCCGCAATTGCTTGTCCTACGCCTTCGCCCAGTAGAGGCTGTGGCACCAACAAACGGATCATCAGGAAAGAGCCGGGAGATCTCCTTGACTGGGGCTGTGTCTGGCCCGTGGGCCTCCACGAGCTGCGATATGTAGCTGAAGATCTGGAGCTGTGCTATCTAGCGAGTCTGCGGCCAGCCCATGCCGAACAGCCGCAATTGCTTGTCAAAGGCCTTCGCCCAGTAGATGCTGTGGCACCAGCAGACTAATCATCAAGAAAGAGTCATGGACATCTTGGTTCACATCGTGCGTGGTGCCGTGGACGACCACCTGATCTGGATCATCGCGAGGTGCGATCTGTGGCTCAAGGTCTGGAGCTGTGCTATCTAGCGAGTCTGCGACCAGCCCATGCCGAAAGGCCGCAATTGCTTGTCCTACGCCTTCGCCCAGTAGAGGCTGTGGCACCAACAAACGGATCATCAGGAAAGAGCCGGGAGATCTCCTTGACTGGGGCTGTGTCTGGCCCGTGGACCTCCACGAGCTGCGATATGTAGCTGAAGATCTGGAGCTGTGCTATCTAGCGAGTCTGCGGCCAGCCCATGCCGAACAGCCGCAATTGCTTGTCCTAGGCCTTCGCCCTGTGGCACAACCAGACGAATCATCATGAAAGAGCAAGGAGATCTCCTTGACCAGGGTGCACGTCGTACGTGGTGCACGACGTACGTGGTGCCGTGGACGACCGCCTGATCTAGATCATTACGAGGTGCGATCTGTATGTAGCTGAAGATCTGGAGCTGTGCTATCTAGCGAGTCTGCGGCCAGCCCATGCCGAAAAACCGCAATTGCTTGTCCTAGGCCTTCGCCCTGTGGCACAACCAGACGAATCATCATGAAAGAGCAAGGAGATCTCCTTGACCAGGGTGCACGCCGTACGTGGTGCACGACGTACGTGGTGCCGTGGACGACCGCCTGATCTAGATCATTACGAGGTGCGATCTGTATGTAGCTGAAGATCTGGAGCTGCGACATCTAGCGAGTCTGCGACCAGCCCATGCCGAAAGGCCGCAACTGCTTGCCCCAAGCCTTCGACCAATAGATGCTGTGGCTCCAGAAGAGCCGCTTGGGGCGCGCGCCTGGCGTCGACGCCGCCGGCACCGCCTCTCGCTGTCGGGCCTCCGCCCGCCAGTGCGGCAACTGCGGCCGCCCTGGCGCCCCGCCCCTGCCGCGCGCTGGCGCCACCTCGAGCCAACATGGCTTGAGCAGAAATGGCTGCCGGCGGCGGAGGAGGAGGAGGAGGAGAAGGAGAAGGGGAAGACGATGACTATGAAGACATAGGAGATAGAGGAGGAGGAAGAGGAGGGGGAGGAGGAAGAGGAGGGGGAGGAGGAGAAGGAGGAGGAGGAGGAGGAGAAGGAGCAGGACGAGGAGGAGGAGGGGAGGAGGGGGAGGAGGCGGAGCAGGAAGAGGAGAAGGATAATGGGGGGGGAAGAGGGGCTCGCGGGATCCATGACCACCGCCTGGGGGATCGATCTTCCCAGACTCCCTCGCGTCGTGGCAAACAATATGACGGTCGGCTTTTGGACGTTTTCGGCCTCCGGGAGACCCTCGCCGGGCCAAAGGACTGTCAAAGGAGGCCCTGGACGATTCGGTCCTGGGGAAGGGGTCTGTGACAAAACTCATGACCCCTGGGGTCTGGATTCGGGGACCTCGGCAAGCGGTGGATATGTTTGCCCCCCCACGGCTCGAGGATGCCCATATAGGCGGGTTTCGGAAACCCTCAGCCCAAACATGTGGCCATCTCTTGGGGGGGCATTTTTTCTTCCGCTGGCTTCAGCCAGCGGGGGAAGCCTCGTTTTACTTCCGCCGCCTTCCGCCGAGGAAGACATGTCAACTCCTTCGACTCTCAGAGGCGAGGGCCTCTCTGGAGCGTGCCACTAGCCACCGCCTCCCTTGGACCCTGAAGACCAACAGCCCCCAGGCGGCCGGCGGCCGTGGACGAGGAGGAGGATGAGGAAGAGAAGGAGGAGGAGGAGGAGGAGGAGTCGGAGGAAGAGGAGAAGGAGAAGAGGTAGCAAGGAGGAGCGGAACGAAGCTGGAAACAGAGCGGTTCCTTCTCAAGCCCTTGGAGGACCGAAAGCGCCCCCCTCCGAATCCTGGTTCGGTGGCAACTCATGGGAGCCTCCAATACCATCTTGTCGGCTCTTGCGAATCGACGCTAATCGACGCTAGTCGACGCTCCATCGACGCTAAATCGGCGCTATCGACTCCCAGACGCTTATCGGCGCTAGCGGACGCTAAAGACGGACTCGAGAGGGAGGGCACGCAAGGCTCCCAAGATTTGCTACCCCAAGATTTGCTACCGGACCGGGGAGGAGTCGGATGGAGAAGAGGAGGAGCAGGAGGAGGAGGAGGAGGAGGAAGAGGAGGAGGAGGAGTGGAGAAGAGGGAGGAACGGAGGAGCGGAACGGAGCTGGAAACAGAGCGGCTCCCTCTTACACCAGTCGAGGACCGAAGGCGCCCCCCTCCTCCTCCGCCTCCTCCTCCTCCTCCTCCTCCTCCTGGTCCTCCTCGTCCTCCTTCTCCCCCCGCTCTTGCTCCTCCTCCTCCTCCTCCTCCTCCTCCTCCTCCTCCTCCTCCTCCTCATCCTCCTCCATCTTCCCCTCCTCGCCCTCCTCCTCTCTCTCCTGTGTCCCCCCGGATCCCGAGGTCCTGGCGTGGTAGATCGCCCGCGCGAGCGCCACCCGCGCCTGCTGGCCCCCGCTGAGCGTGGCGGCGCTGAGCTCGTCCCCCCGCCGCGCGAAGTCCACCGCGGCGGCGCGGCATGCCAGCTCGAAGAGCGGCGCGTCCAGCGGGGCCCCCGCGGTGACGATGTCCTCTCGGGGAGGGGCCCGCGGTCCTCAAGACCTCATGAGGAGGAGGAGGAGGAGGAGGAGGAGGAGGAGGAGGAGGAGGAGGAGGAGGAGGAGGAGGGGAGGGGAGGAGGAGGGTGAAGAGGAGGAGGAGGAGGAGGAGGAGGAAAGTGCCTTCAGAATGTGCACCTGTGGAGGGCGGGGAGGCACCCGCGGGAGGGAGGCTGGCATGGCCTCGCCACGCCTTCCTCTTCCCTCTCCCCTGTTCTTGGCCCATCGCTCCCCACCCTTCTCCTCCTCTTGCTCCTCCTCTTGCTCCTCCTCCTCCTCCTCCTGCTCTCCTCCTTTCCTCCTCCGCCTCCACCTCCGTCTCCTCCTCTCCTCCTCCCTCCTCCTCCTCCTCCTCCTCTCCTTCCTCCTCTCTTCCCCTCCTCCTTCCCTCCTTCCTTCCCCTCCTCCTCCTCCTCCTCCTCCTCCTCCTCCTCCTCCTCCTCCTCCTCCTCCTCCTCCTCCTCCTCGACAAGACTGCATGTGGAAGGCCTCGCGCTTCAACTCGAGACCCAATTTGCATCGGACCAGCGTCGGGTTTACATCGGGTGCGCGTCGGATCATCGCCGCGCGATCGCCGGTCCATCTCTTACAGGGAAGACGTGTGGACTAACTAATTTTGGCTGTTGTGCGCCGCGCGAGGCCTATAGTGACTACCTACCAGACCACCCCAACCCAACCCGAAGACCCGAATTTCGGGTTGGGGGCGGTAAAGGTTCCACATGTTTTTTTCGATGTTTCCCGACCCCCCCCACTGGAAATCGAGGGTAAATCTGAGCCTTCGGGTTGGGTTGGGGTGGTTTGGTGGGTGGTGATCGAGGATTTTCCTCATAGAAGGTCCAGGCAGACCTCCTCGCTCCGTGTCATGAATCACGACGGAACAACGTTGAAGGTTTTTGTCCGCTCTTGGGGGCCCTCGCTGGGGCCTAGGGACGGTCCACGAGAGCAACTCAGACGAAACGCCATTTCCTGGGAGAAGAGGTCCAGACCTCTGGGGGTCCAAGTCATGAGACAAAACCATGACGTCGGGGGCCCACGACAGGGAACAACTCTCCCAGGCAAGGGACTCGACGACCCGTGCCCGAGTCTGGCTGGCGCAGGCCCGTCGCGAGTGGCGTCCCTTCGGGGGGCGCAGCCAAGCCCACCCGGACTGGCAGCCTGCACCTGCAACGGCTTGTGCGTGTCGGACTGTCAGGCAGGCTATTTTTTGACTATTTTTGAATATTCCTCGTGCAGAGGGACAGGCCCGACTTACGACCAGGACACGTCGGGGATCTCCGAGATCCCACGGTTCGGAAAGGCGGGCGCCGCGGCCGCTCCGGAGCGCCCGGGAGCACTCCGGGAGCGCGTCTCCTGGAACGCTCGCCCATGGAACCCGCTCGGCTTCGCTGTGGGCCCGCCCGAAGGAGTCCCAGGCAGATCAGCTCTGCATCGCATGGAACAGAATGGTGAAGCGCAGTCGCGCCGCCTCGCATAGGATCGCTGCGAGTCGCTGGCGGAGCGCCTCGGGAGCCAGGTCGCGAGCGGGCCAGACCGAGCCGCAGGCCAGATCGCGCGGGGGCAGGTCGCCCTGGCGGGTTATTCTCGAGGGAGGTGCGGCAGCAGCCACGGTTCTGACCATGGCGCGCGACAACACATCGAGCGGGGCCCTGTGGACCCCTCTCCAGGGCAGGTCTGCTCTGGGGCACAGAGCTGCTCGCGGGAGTCTGCACGATCTGAGCGCGCGCCTGCGCCCCTGGCCTCCATCTGCAGCCGCCCCTCTCCTTGCTCGAGCCCTTCGTGCTCAAGCGAGCGGCAATCGAAAACGGGTCTTGCGCGAGATGACGCAGCGACCTTGCGCGGCGGCTTACGCAGGCCGCCAGCGCGGCACGTTATATTGGAGGTAGGGGGCGCTTACGCGCAACCCTGCGCGGGCAGCTCACGCGCCGATGTCGGCGCCACCGGCCCTGCTTTTGCTGCGTCGCTCCATTGGCGATCCCACAGCCTGGTCTTCCGCTTCGACCGCGCTGAGCGTCCTCCAGCGCCGCGACTAGAACCAAGCTCTGGGACATGCGATACATATCTCATCCATGCCCTTGCTGCTGCCTTCCACTGTGGGCGCCACGGGGGCGGGCACTGGTGAGAACTTGGCTTCGGGAGGCTGGGATTCTTTCCGTATGTAACAAAAAATCGGTCTCTGGTGGGACAGGCTTTGGGGGCAAGAAGGTACCGATACCGCTACTCCCCAGACCCTCTCCCAGGGGTGCGCTCTGACCAGAACTCCCAGGCGGATCCAGCCGTAGCGAGGAGGGTATCCCAGGAGGCTCCCAAAGAGGGGGAAAGATGCAAGGAGTACGTAGCGGTATCTGAACCACTTCCTCCTCTGGCGTCTGGCCCCCGACGTCACGACTTGCTCACAGCGTCGACCCCCGACGCTCTCGACCCATTCCCCAGAACCAGATTTTCATCCTGTGCCGTCTTCTGAGGGTCCAGGGGCCCGGCGACGAACCCCCCAGAGGCCGCAAAACTTCTGCCAGGACGCGACGGGGTGGGTCGCTGGGTCGGCACCATCGACGTCCTCCTCCAACTCCGCCTCCTCCTCCTCCTCCTCTTCCTCTGACGTCTGGCTTCGCTAGAAGAAGAAACAACTTCAGACATGTAAGCATAAACTTTTTGGCGCTCCGCGCGGATTTCTCGGATCCGCGCTGGGCCCCCCTCCCTGGCGCGCGCAGCGCGCCAGGGGCGGCGCCAGAGGCGTCGCCAGGGGGGCCCAAGCGCCGATCCGGGAACTCCCCACGGAACGCCACAAGTTTATGTCTACTTCTGCGACTGACGTCTGGCCTCCCCCGGGTCCTCCAGGGAGCCGGTCGGCACCCAGGGCTTCTGGGCGCAGTAGGCGACCCTGCCGGGGGGCGCCGCGAGGCCCGCGCGCGGCAGCTCACCCAGCAGCGCCCGCAGCAAGGAGGACTTCCCGGAGCCCACCGCGCCGACCACGGCCACGAGCTCCCCCTCCTGCGGGGTGCTGCCAAGTATCCGCCACCGTGATTCCTTGCACGTTGAGACGTGGAGAGATGCCAAGTGCTGTCTGGCAAGGTGCTTGTAATCTTCTACTGCAAGAGGCCCACCTAACCCCCTCACGTCGCACCTGGAGGTCCCTGGACGGCCATGGCATCTCCCCGGGGGGGTCACGGTGGCGGGACTTGCCGTAAGCAGCTGGACAAGAGGCCCCCGTAGATGGTGTCGAAGTAGATGGGGTCAAAAGATCGCACCGCATCGGCGATGCATTGGCGGCGTCGGCGATGCATCGGCGCCAGCGGCGTAGATAGAACCAGGCTGAACATCGGGCCGCATCGCCGATGCATCTGCGACGCGGCGCTATCCTCCGACCGACTCCGACCCCATCTTCGTCGACCCCACCTGGGAGTTCTAGAAAATACAATAGGGGCTCGACCAGAAGAAACCTTCCACAAGAAACCCAACCCTGAGACCCCAGGGCGTCCATTGATTTTTGGTGTGGGAGCGTCACGCTCTCCGTTACAAAACCATCAAAGCACGAGGAACCCAGGGCACCCTGGAGGCAAGCAGGGTGCTTATTCTTGGCGTGGGTTCGCACTGCAAAGGAGGACGAAGACATTGTAACAAAAAAATGCGCGTCCAGAGCTCCGCGCGAATCTGCTGGATCGGCGCTGGGCCCGCTCCCTGGCGCGCGAAGCGCGCCACCAGGGGCGCCCGACACCAGGGGCGCCCGAGGCGTCAATCCACGTTATCCGCGCGGAGCTCCAAAAATTCCTGTTCGCACACGTTTCTCTTCTTCGGCTGAAGGTGCCCCTGGCCCGAGGCACCTCCAGGATTCCCAGGGAGGTATAAGACGAAGCCAGGGCGAGGATAACATCGGGTGAGGATGAATGGGGAATCTCTGAGATCTGGCGGCTCTGGAGGATCTCTGGGGCGCCGCGGCCTTCTCACAGCGTTCGGGAACGCCCCGAGAGAGTGCCGGAACGCTCTGCAACGGACTTACTCTCGTCCTAGCCTTAGGTCGGGCATGCCCCCCTGCAGGCGGATTTTGGAGGACAATTTTGACACAAATGATAGAACATAGTCGAACAATCGTCCCCGGACTCTTTTTAAATACTATTTTTGAAGATTCATCCTGTAGAGGGACATGCCCGACTTACTCGTAGCCCCGTCCGATGAGGCCTCGACGGAGTCCAGAGAGCACACCTCCACGAGGCCCAAGGGCCCCCAGTGCGGCACGAGAGAGAGGGCCGGGGCTGCCCCAGAGGCCACGAACCCTTATACATTTGGGGGGCAAGAGGGTGGAGATACCGCTACTCTCCAGACCCAAAGGTGCGTTCTGGCCAGACCTTCGGAGCGAATCCTGGCCCGGACGTCCATTTCCTGTGTGTGTTTTTCCAGTTTCGTGCGTGTTTTTTTCGCCAAATGATGAAGGATGCTCCTCGATGGTCCTCGCCGAGGAAAAAAACGCACACGTCCGAGCGATGCCAAGCCATAGGCCAAGAACCCTTCTACATTTGCGGTGCAATAGGGTCGAGATACCGCTACTCTCCAGACCCAGAGGTGCGTTCTGGCCAGAGCTTCGGGGCAAATCCAACCGTGGCGACGAGGGAAGGGTAGCCCGCGGCATCGTTATCTCCCCCCCCTCTGCTTCAAAGCACCCCCCCCGACATCCTGGATCTCCAGGGGCTCCTCGAGGACGAGCGCGAGGTCCGCGTCCGGCGACAGCTGGTACCTTCCGTGGAGACGCAATTCTCGGGTTCGGGGGACTCGGGTTGGCCTGGCGGGGTCGTCAGGAGAATGACGAGACCCAGTGTAAAATTTGAGGCGAGCTCCCGCTCTCAAAATCCCACGAACACGGAACCATCAGATTCGAGACGGGCCCCTCGAAAGGCGGAACCCGAGCTCCAGCGAGCTCGAGTCTTCCTCGGAGAAGGGCGACTTCAGACACTGGAAACTCCAGCCCCCTCCGGGGGTCCAGACGCACCAATCTTCCGAGCTGTGAGCCCAGCCGTGGCGAGGAGGGCCCCCCCCGAAGGCCAGCTATGGGACCCCCATGGATGTAAAAGTGCGGGCCGCAGAGCTCGCGCAAGAGGGCTCGCAGCGTCCCCGCGAGGCCCCGGGGCCCCAAGACGATGCGGCAGAGACCCGCCCGGGCGATTCTCCGGTGCTCCCGTGCCCCCTTTTGACGTGATGATTGCCCAATGGGGAGAGGACCGGAGAATCGCGATCCCGCCCAATGCTTTCCCCTAAAAAATTCTCTCCGGTCGCCTCCCCGACCAACCGGAGAATTGATCTTCTCACAGACAATTCTGCGGTCCCCTTTCCAACCGCTGGATAACAGCAATTTCGCTTGAGACTTGCTCGCAGCCATGCTTGTGGACCGTGCAACAGATGCTGTCAGAAAATGTTGACTTCGCCTGGGACTTCCGCACGGCCACATCAGACAAGCCAGATTCCAGAGCTGTCGCTCCTCCGAGCACGCCCGAGTTAGGCCCCAAGCGGTGATCGTCCATTCGGTTTGCGGGGTCGCCTTAGAGCCATCTTGGGCCCTTGGGCCCCTGGAAGTTAATTTCGGGTCCTGCAGTCCGCTGGGGGATGGCGTTGCGTTCTCTGGGCCAATACCGATCGAGGAGCGAGGATTCAGGGACGTTCGAAGTTCAAGGAACCAATTTCGAGGGTACATCGCAGATCGAAGATCAGATCCTCTTCGATCCTGAACGGCCCCCAGATCCAGGCTCGGCCCAGGGTTCGGCAATGCTCTGAGTTCGGGGGTCCAGGGCCGTTCGAAGATGGAGGATGGACGATCGAGGATCGATGAGTGATCTTACCAGCCTGGAAGATATCCCTATCCCTATGCTGGGCACCTCCTCATCACGACGCCAATCTTAGGGATTCCCTTATTTTTTGAAGGCGAATCCCTAAGATTGTCATCGCCTTCTGGCGTGTCAATCTTAGGGGTAGGGATACGTTCGAGGCTGGCAGTGATCGGAGACCGAGGATCAAGGCTCCAGGATCTGCCCTGGCTCTTGGACGTTCGATCGCAGCCGAACCATCGATCGCCCCTCGGCTCCGGACTCCGCGGCTCTGGGCTGTCGATCGGTCCTGGACCCTGTGGCACTCGATCGGCCCTGGAATCTCGCTCTTGGACCCTCGATCTTACACCGTCGATTCCGGTTCTGGACGAGCGCGCTCCACTACTCGCAAAAAGAATGCTCGCAAACGGCCTGGATCCGCCGCGGGGGATCTACGACAGATTACATCGAAGCAGACACTTGGTTTTTCGGACGTTTGCGAGTAGGCACTTTGCGAGTAGTGGAACGCGCTCGGTGAACCTCGGGAGCGGCCAAGAGGGGGGCGTCCAAGAGGGGAGGGGAACGCAAATCATGACCGGCGGCATGTGCGCGGCCCAGCGGGGGGGCCAGGGACGTGATGAAAGAAGACGAAGCGCCGTGAAATCTGAGGAAATATCATGGCCCCCGCCGTGAAATCTCTGAGGCTCTGCGTCTTCGCCCTTCGATCGGCCCTGGACTCCGGAACACCGCTGCTCGCTCGACCCCCGATCCTCGGACTGCGGCCCTCGGCCCTCGATCCTCGATCGCGATCCCTGGTGCCTCGATCGCGGGCTCTGGATGTTCGGACGACGGTGGCTGCCCGATCTTCGACCGGCCCTGGATGCAGAACTCTTGGCCTGCGGTCGATCCGGGCTGTTTCGCCCGCGATCGCTCCTGCGTCCTCGACTCCTGGCGGGCCTCAGCTCTTCTGTCTTCGATCGGGCTTCGATCCTGGATGACCCAGGAGCCGCCAACTACGATTAGGGGAACGAAAAGTGACATAAAAAAAACTCGGAATCCACGCGGATTTCTCGGATCGGCGCTGGGGCCCCCCGGCGGCGCCTCTGGCGCCACCCCTGGCGCGCTCCGCGCGCCAGGGAGGGGGGTCCAGCGCCGATCCGAGAAATCCGCGCGGACATCCGAGTTCTTATGTTTATGCCACTTTTTGCTCCCCTCACGATTGCTCCCAGGCCCTCGGGGTCGTTCGACGGAGGAGGGCCGAGGATCGATTGACCGACCAGCCATAACTGGGGGAGCTGTGGTCCTTACCCCCCTGGAGGAACCCATCGCATCGACGATCTCTCGAGAGGGGTGTCGAAATCGATGGGTCCCCCAGGGGGGTAAGGACCACAGCTCACCCAGTTGTGGCTGGCCTGAGGGAGGGCTGGAGCTTTCCAGGACCGAGGACGGATCGACGGTCGAAGCTCCGGGGCCGACCCAGCGACGGTACAGGGGGAGGTTGCCTGGCCGTCGCTCGGACGTCCATTTCCTGCGCTTTTTGCGGGTTGGGAAAATGACCACAACCACAGCTTCTTGTTTGCGCCGCCTTCCAGCTGGCCGGAAAAGAAGCAGTGGTTGTGGTCATCTGCCTGGTGCCAAGCTTGACGAAAATGACCACCACCACCACTGCGTTGTTTCTGCTGGCTGGACGGCGGCAACAGAAGAAAAGCAGTGGTTGTGGCCATTTTCCCATCCCGTATTTTTGTTCGGCTTCTTGCGTGGTTTTTGTCGCAAGATGATTATGTTGCTCCCATCCTACTTAAGGACCGCATCCCAGAAATGATTTCGAGCACCCGGAAAAGTGTCGAAAGAGTGTCGAAACAATGTCGGGCGAGTGTCTCCCAAGGCCCGACACGTGAAAATCCTTATTCTTTCTGGTGGTCAAGGCTAAATAGGTTGGAGCATCATAACAGCATGATCCAGGAAGCTCTTTAACAATCCCCGCCGAGAAAAAGTGCACACGTCCGAGCGATGCGTCCTGAAGGGCCGATCCGCATGTCTAACTCCACGAGGTGGCCCCCGTGTTTCCAACGGCCCTTCGCTGACTAACTAGACGAGCGCGTTCCACTACTCGCAAAAAGAATGCTCGCAAATGGCCTGGATCCGCCTGGGGAGATCTACGAGAAATTGCATCGAAGCAGACATGCATATTTCGGACGTTTGCGAGTAGGCACCTTGCGAGTAGTGGAACGCGCTCGGTGATCCGCTGACTTATTTGGACGCCCGAAATGGGCACGGAAACAGTGGGCACAATGCCCAACAGCAAATGCTGTCCCGAACCAACAGCGGCCGCTGCTGGGCAGGCGGCCTTCTGTCTCAAGTGGACACAGGCCGCGGCGGCGCGGACAGCGAGCCCTGTTCATTTTTAGGGGGCCACATGCGAACCCTACCCCACCCCCCCACGATTTCTGAGGGGGAGGGTGGGGTTCACTTCGCTCGGGAGCTCCCGAACGAAGTGAACCCCACCCTCCCCCTCAGAAATCGTGGGGGTAGGGGTAGGGCTCGCATGTGGCCCCCTAAAAATGAACAGGAACAGCTGTTGGGCATCGTACCCATTCTTTCCGTGCCCGTCTCATCCGTGCAGAACTTGCGTCTCCCCGCACCTGCCGGGCGCCGCCACCAGGGCCGCGCGCGCGCCGGGCGCCGCCGCGGCGCGCGGCGGCGTCTCCTCCAGCGCCAGGAAGGAGGCGATGCGCTGCAGCGCGGCGCGGCCCTCCGACAGCGCCTCCGAGGGGCAGCGCTCGGACGTCCATTTCCTGTGTTTTTTTCGGTTTCGTGCGTGGTCTTTTCGCCAGATGCTCGAGAATGCTCCCCGATTGTCCTCGCCGAAGGGAAAATGCACACGTCCGAGCGATGCCAAGCTCCGAGGGGCAGCGCTCTGGGATGGGGTGGGGGGCTCGGGGGGGCAAACATCGGGTTTGAACCGGCAAGCATCTGGCTTGGAGCGGCTGTAGGCACCCGGTAGCAACTCCGCGCTGAGATTGTTCTGGCGTGGCAGGGCTCTGGTCAGCGGGGGGAGGTGGCTGCAGCTCCAGTCGCTCGTGCTCCCGCTGCTGCCTGTGCTGCTTGCCTTCCTTCCTCCACGCTTCCCCTCGGCCAGCCAAGCGATTGACGCCGCCCACAGGAACCCCTGAACAATCATGTTCGACGCACGGTCCTGCATCCCCCCTCGAAATCAAACGCAATTTTTTCCCGCGACGTGGCGGCGCACCATGACCCCAAACGACAATGTACGCGCCGACGTTGGTGACTGCAAACACGACAATCTGAACCCGTGGGCCGCGCCTCACGCGGCGACCAAGATCAAAAGCTTGCGCTTGACTTCGGGGAGGACTGTGGGCGCTGTGTGCCATCGGCGACGCATGGGCGAGTGGTGGGACGGCGTCCCACCACTCGCCCATACTGGCACTATATGTCCTCCTTGGAGGCGTGCGTCCGACCCGCACATCTAGTATACTCATCTTGTAGTATGTGGTTTCCCGAGCGGTGCGGCCAGAAAGCGCCCGCCACGACACAGACACTAGAAGATTTCTCGGTGCGCGCGTCGCCCCTGGGGGGACGACGCACATAGAGTAGAAGTACTGCGGGGTGACGATTAATACAAAAAATGGGAGAGAACGATTCAACAACTAGTTTTCTGCTATTTCTGCACAATTTTCTGACTGGAGGAGAACGGTTCAAAACATAGTTTTCCAGCCCGCGGCCACTTTTTTCTGATCGCCCCCCCGGGCGCCGCCGCGTGAACACGACCCCCGGTCATTTATTAACCGTCATCCTCCCTTATTAGGGAGCCCACAAAGGACGTACGCGTCCAGCTATGTGCATGAACACGGCCCCTTGACCCGCGAGACCTGCCGCGCGATACGATCATTCGCGCAATGCGAACTCTCGAAACCAGCGTGGATTCATGTACATGTACGTCCTTTTTCCGCTCCTGACTTGTATACGTGTGTTTTGGGGTGACACCGAGGTGGGGCCCGTGCGTCCCCGCCCGAGCCTGCCCCCCCCCCCCCCCTCACGTCGCGCCCAGGCTGTCGCGCCACAGCTCGGCTCCCTGGCGAGGTCGGCAGGCGAACCCACCGCTCTGGCCTGGGCTCGTGGATGCCACGGCAGTGGACACCCTAACGGTCCTGTGATTGAATGTAAAGCGCAGGAGGGCCCAGGATCGGATCGACAAGTCGGATCGGCGATCGGCATGAATCGGATCGTCGGAAATCGGCAGCTGAGTCGGGAAAAGTCGGATCGGCAGAAATCGGCAGGCTAGTATGCATGATGGCCGCGAACCGAACCGAGAACCGAGAACCGGGTCTGGAACCGAACCGGCCGAACCGAACCGGCCGGCCAAACCGAACCGGCCGAACCGAACCGGCCCGCTGTGCGAACCGAACCGGCCGAACCGAACCGGCGGAAACCGAACCGGCCGAACCGAACCGGCCAACCAGGCGGAACCGAACCGGCCGAACCGGACCGGACCGGCGGAACCGAACCGTCCGAACCGGAGTCAGGACCCCAGGACCCGCTCGAACCTTAAAATACCTCAGGACCCAGGACCTGAACCCAGGACCCCAGGACCTCAAAAGACCCCGGGACCTGAATCCAGGATCCTCTTGGACTTCCCAGGACCCCAGGACCCGGGACCCCAGGACCCCCAGGACCCATGAAGACACCCATGAAGACGAGCACCTGGCTGGCGGGCGCGCGCGGGGCGACGACGACGACGGCGGAGGAAGGCGACGACGACGGCGGAGGAAGGCGACGACGACGGCGGCGGAGGAAGGCGCCGACGACGACCCCCTGGGTCCGGACCCCCCCGGTCCGGACCCCCCCCGGTCCGGACCCCCTGGGTCCGGACCCACTGGGTCCGGACCCCCGGGGGTCCGGACCCTCCCCGGTCCGGACCCTCCCCGGCTCGGACATTTCTGGGTCCCCGTCGCCCCTCCTCCTCTTCCGCCGCCTCCTCCTCCTTGCCCGCCGATGCGGGTTTCCCTGCGGAAGGGGCCGTCCGACGCCGCAGGCAGATCCACCCTCCAAGCACGCCGCCGCCGTCGCCGTCGCCGTCGCCGAACGGGCCGGCCTCGTCCTCGTCCTCGTCCTCGTCCTCGTCCTCGTCCTCGTCCTCGTCCTCCTCCTCCTCCTCCTCATCCTCCTTCTTCTCCTCCTCCTCCTCCTCCTCCTCTTCCTCCTCCTCCTCCTCCCTCGCCCCCACTGTCCCCAACCCCGTCGGGGCTGCCGATCGGGACGGCCTGGAATCGAAGCGAATCGAAATCGGGCTGACTGAAATCGCCTCTGCATGGATGCGAAACCGGCCGAACCAACCGAACCGAACCGGCCGAACCGGACCGGTCGGAACACATAAAACCGAACCGGTAGAACCGAACCGGCCGAACCGAACCGGTCGAACCGAACCGGTCTACGACAAAGAACCGAACCGGTCGAACCGAACCGGTTTGCGACGCGAACCGGAACCGGTCGAACCGAACCGGTCGCACATCGAACCGAACCGGACCGGACCGAACCGCGGCTTTCATGAGTATGCCTCCAATAAGAAATCGGAACTCAAATCGGAATCCCGGATCGAATCGAATCGGAATCGGAAACCATCGAAATCGAATCGAATCGAATCGGAGGAATCGAAACGAGCCCTGAAAGCGTGTTTTATTGAAATGTGGGAAAGGGTTCTAAACATGTGTTAAACATGCTTTTACATGTTTAAAACACGCTCAACACATGTTTTAGACATCTGGAAATTCTTTGGCAACACGCTTCCTCTCCACTGGTCGTCCTCCACAACCTTACGCCAGCCCGAACCTGGAATCCGGTCTGGCGGAACCTTGAACAGCAACCCCCAGACCCAGCATTCCTCGATCGGTGCAAACAAGTATACCACTGGACACCAAAACAACCACGCTCCACGCGCAGGTCGGGAATATCAGCCCCGCCCGGTGTCTCGACGGAGCCTGCGCGACACTTCACTTAGCTGGACGCCCCAGGAACCCAAGAAAGCGCCAACCACTGCGTAAGTCGCGAACGCCCCGGTAGACCGCACCCGGAAAACCCCAGAGTCTCGATGTGGCGGTCACTCGTGGTAGCCCAAGAATCCTTTGAGCGCCTCCTCCCCCGAAAAGTATACGAAAAACATCCTCCGCATCATCTGCTGGAACCCTCCGACTTCTTCTCGTCGTCGTCGTCGTTGTCGTCGTCTGCGTCGTCGTCTTCGTTCTCGTCGGCGATGACCACGGCGATGACGAGTCAGGATAGAACATCGACACAAGACGACCGACCGTAGAAAACCAACGACGGACGAACACGACCGCACATGCCGCCCTGATTTTGAAATCTTCGCGTTTGGCGTCAGATCCAGACAGAACGAGAATTCTCGATGTTAGGGCAGACACGCCTGACCACCATGCACATCATCGCCATCAGCATGGTCGCTCTTCATCCCCGTCCTCTGCCTCATCACCACCATCATCATCACCACCATCATCATCATCTTCTTCATCATCATCGTCATCATCATCCCTTCTCGTCCTCGCCCTCATCATCATCATCCTCCTCATCATCATCATGATCGTCATCGCCGTCATCATCATCATCACCATCATCATCCCTCCTCTTTCCCCTCCTCGCCCCTCCTCTTCGATTATCATTTCAGGACGGAGGGTATGGAGGAATAAGAAATAGTGGGGAACAAGGGGGCCGCACACGGGAAGATAATAAAAAACCTCCATACCGAAAAACAATCACAAAACACCGGATACCCGGTAGCCAGAATGCACACACAGACACACAGTCAACCACCAATACGGAGCACATGCAGTGAACCACAATCAGAAACCCATACGCTCGAGAAGAACAAGAAATCCATACACTCGAAACCAATACGGAAACGTCTTGGGTCCACGAACCCCGTGAAGGCGCCAATACTTAGAAACAACCCTGTGAGGATACAACATAATCACTGGTGTTCGTGCCTTCGGACTTCTCCTGCCCCGCCACCCGCCCAAATCCGCACAAACAAAAACAATAACCGTATACGCAAAACAGATACGCGAAATCCGGACAATCAAAGACAGTGTTAGAAACCATTAACTCATACATGAGCTCAGCTCCATACAATCAGACACAGTAAGACATCCGTGCAACCAGACAGAAACGACTTATTTCCACGAATCCTGTGAAGGTACCAGACAGCTTGTCCTGGCGACATGCCCAACCAGATGCAGTTGTGAGTATCGCCGTTGTGGGTATTGCCTTCGGTGGATCTCTTCATGGGGCCACGGAGCGTGCAACAAGTCTGCCCTGGGCGGGGACGCATGCGGGCGCCGCCGCCGCCACCGGGGCCTTCGGTGGAGCTCCCCATGGGGCCACGGTGCGTTGTGCTGAGCGGGAGAAACGCATGCGAACACCGCCACTGGGACCTTCGGTGGAGCCTCCCACGGAACCACGAGTCGCTGCACTGGGCGGGGGAAACGCGCGCGAACAACGCCACGGGGGCCTTCGGTGGAGCTCCCTGGGGGACCACATAGCGTTATGTTGCTCCCATCGTACTTAAGGACGACATCCCAGAAAAAAATTCGAGCACCCCGAAACGTGTCGAAAGAGTGTCTCCCAGGGCCCAGCACGTGAAAACCCTTGAGTTGCGGTGCTTTTTTGGGCGCTCCAAATGCTTTCTGGTGGTCAGGGCTAAGGTCGGTGGGAACATCACAAACATAGCGCTGTACTGGGCGGGGGAAGCGCACACGAAAGCCGCCACGCGGGCCTTCGGTGGAGCTCCCCCGTGAGGCCACGGCGCGCTGCACTGGGCGGAGAGGGTGAGCCACGGAGCGCGGTGCCGAGAGGGGGAAGCGCCTGCGAGCTTTCCCACGGGGGCCTTCGGTGGGGCTCCCCGTGGGGCCACGAAGCTTGGTCCTCGGGGGGGAAACGCATGCGAGCCATGCCACTTGGGCCTCAGGTGGGGCTCCCCGTGGGGCCACGACGCGCGCGAGGGGTGTGCCGAAAAGGGGCGGCGGCGCCATGCGAACGTTCCCGCTGAGGCCTTCGGTCGAGCTCCGTATTGGGGCCACGGAACGCGTGAAGGGTGTACCGAAATGGGGCGGCGGTGCCATGCGAACTTTCCCACTGGGGCCTAAGGTAGAACTGCCGATGGGGCCACGAAGCGTATGATGGGCGTGCCGGCATTCGGCGGCGGTGCCATGCGAACTTTCCTACTGGGGCCTTCGGTGGAGCCCCCTATGGAGCCACAATGCGAGTGAGGGATGTGCCGACATGGGGCGGCGGTGCCATGCGAGCTTTCCTACTGGGGCCTTCGGTGGAGCTCCCTATGGGGCCACAAAACATGTGAGGGGCGCGCCAAAATTGTAGACTAATGCGGAGAGCAGGGGCAAGAAGGGGGAGGAAGGAAGAGGGAGGAGGGGGAGGAAGACGGGAGGAAATGAGGGGACGCGCGGCGCTGTCTCGTCAAAACGGAGGCCCAATACCACAAGATGTTTGGGACAAAATGCAAAACAAAAGAACCGGTGAGGATACCAAACAAACAAACATCAATGGTTTTCGCATTTTCAAGCTGCTTGGACGGATTTGAGAGGAAAGGGCTCGGAGGAAGTCCGAAGACACGGAAACCACTTGCTTTTATTGTGTTGCAGCCTCGCAAGTCTTTTGTTGTTTGTTGTTGGTGCCCGCACAGGGTTCGTGGACCTAAGACGTTTTCTTCCTGTTTGTGAGTGTACGGATTTTGTATAGTCTTGATTATGTGGGATTATTGTTGCTTCGGATTTTGCGAATCTTGACCGGAGGGGCGCAAAGAACGTCCGAAGACATGACGACCTTTGATTTCCGTTTTGCTGGTGCCCTCACAGTTTGTGTTGGTTGTGTTGTTTGCTGTGTTCTGTCACTTTGGTACCCTCACAATGTTCGTAGACCCAATACGTTTTCTTATTGTGTTGGTTTGCATGGGTGTCTTATCGTTGTTTTTTGTATGGGTGTCGTATTGTATTGGCTGTACGGGTGTATGAGTTGTTTCAAATGTTTGGGGTTCTTCTTAGTTCTCCATATGATGGTTTAACTTGTTTTTGCTTGTACGGGTTTCGAATGCTTTGAGTCAGGTTTTCTGAGTGCTTAGCTGTACGATTTTTCGAATTGCCTTGATGATACGGATATCGTATTGTTTTGATTGAGCGTGGAGAAGTTAGATGAGGAGGAGGATGAAGACGAGAAGGAACATGCGGAGGAGAAGGCAAAGGCCGATGATGGTGGTACTGATGATGATCATGGTGATGGTGATGATGATGATGACGCTGATAATGATAGTGATGATGATGAGAAAAACCTCACGCCACATACTCTTAAGTATCACCCTTACTGAAGGATGGGGGTGAACAACAACTTCCACTCGATACCCGGAGTTTGAAATCTTCCGATCGGATCGGCCGCACTGACACACTCAGAATTCTCAATTCTCAGGCAGGCCTGTTCCCCCCACTGGGGTAAGCGCGCGCAGCAACGCCACGGGGTGTAAAGAAGCTGCTCCGCTCAACGCGCCACGCGGCAACGCGCAAAGGGCGAAACAAAACGATCGCCCTACTCTACCCGTTGCGTGGCAACGCCAAGAGGCGGACAAAAGTACGAACCCCCTCCTGCTCGCCTAGGTGGCAACGCCTGGGAGGGCGAAAAGTCACACTCCACTCGACTCGGCACGTGGCACCGCATTGGGGTTAGGTCGGGCATGTCCTCCTACAGGCGGATCCCGGAGGAAAACTCAGACATATCCAACAAATACAAAAAAACTAGCCGAACATAGAACAGTCGTCACCAGGCTATTTTTTCAACACTCCTCCGGTAGAGGGACACGCCCGACTTCACCCTGGGGGCAAAACATCCACTCTGCTCCTAGCGTGGCAACCCCGCAGGGCCGAGGGGTCCCAGTCCACTCGACCCGCCGCGGGAAGCAGCGCCTGAGGGGCAAACAGCCTTGCCCCAAAAATACTCCAGAATAATCCAGAATAGTCCCCAAACTATTTTTTCGACTATTCTTGAATATTACCCCTGTAGAGGGACAGGCCCGATTTAAGGGTAGTGTTACAAGCCGTGCGACGCGCACGTGAACGGTGCAGGGGAGCTGGCGAGAGCGGCTGTGCTCTCGCGCCGTGCGTGCTCTTCCAGACGCCTGCAAGCGTGCAAGCATCTGGAAGAGCACCGCGAACATCAGCACTCCACACTGACTACCTACCAAACCACCCCGACCCAACCCGAAGACCTGAATTTCGGGTTGGGGGGGGGTACAGTGCGGGCTTCATCTGTGTGTTATCACTGCTCTCCGACCCCCCCCCAAACTGGACATGGAGGGCAAATCGGGGCCTTCGGGCTGGGTTGGGGTGGTTTGGTGGGCGGTGACGCACGCTGCCCCGACCTCGAGATCCTCAGCGCGGGTCGGCCGCACCGACCCACTCGGAGTGCTCAACCTCTGGGGCAGGCCTGCGCGGGCCGGGGTGGGCGCGCGCAGCAGCCGCGCGGCGGGGAGGAAGAAACCGGCCCTCTCGGAGACACCGCGCGGCAACGCACGGGGGGCGACACAGCACGAATGACGTTGCCCTGATCGTCACGTGGCACCGCCAACCTTGGCGGCGCGCAGAAGGGGGTGGAGGGAGGGGGGGAAGCTTCTTACAAGGAGGCTGCTTCTTAGAAGGCGGCGGCCTTACATCTATACATAAGGACCGCGCCTTCTAAGAAGCAGGGGTGCTTCTAAGAAGCCTTCCCCCCTCCCCCTACCCCCCTCTGCGCGTGGCCGACAAGCGGCGGAAAACATGCGAATCTCCTGCGACCCGCCCCACGTTGTGACGCCAGGGGAGGCGAAACATAGCACTCCACTCCACTCGCAACGTGGCAACGCATGGGGGGGCGACAAAAAAGATTCCACTCTACTCCGAGCGTGGCCACGCCGCGGGAGGAAACGAAAACAATTCCACTCGACTCGCCGCGCGGCATCGCCTGGGGGGCCGGAACAGATACTCCATTCGACGCCCTGTTTTTCAAACTTCCAGACCCCATGCTGCACTTAGAGAGGAGGAGCGCACTGTGCGAACGCGCCCGCGAACAAACATATGCGTTCGACAGAAGAAATCACATCGCTCGACCCATAACATCCCTCGTTGGGCCCTGGAAGGTTCCCCCGTTCGCCCCCCAAAAAAACAGACTCGCTCGCCGCAGAACAAACCACCCGTTCGCGGCCGAATTTCCCAAGTGGCGGCCAGATTTCCTGGTTCGGAAGAGGAGGAGGACGACGACGACGAGGCGGGGATAGGGGACACGCAGGGTCACGATTTGCACATGCGTGCCAGAAGGAGGAGGAGAGGGAGGAGGAGGAGGAGGAGGAGGAGGAGGAGGAAGGAGGAGGAGGAAGGAGGAGGAGGAAGGAGGAGGAGGAAGGAGGAGGAGGAGGAGAAATGGAGGGGCAAATGAAAAGAGATAGGAAACGCGAATTCCCGGTTTGACCAATCGGAATTCCAGGTTTCGCGCGTCTGCGGATTTCCGGGTGGCGAATTCCAGGTTTCGGAGCGAATTCCAAATGTCGCGGTTGAGGCCGATTCCAGTTTTCGACCGAACGGATTCCTGGTTTGGAGGCGATTCCTGGGTTGAATTCTCCACCCACCGCCGGCCCTTCGGGACGATCCGGGCACCCCCAAAAACGCCCTCGGCGAGGCGCAGCCGCTGGGACACATCCCGAGGCTGGAAAAGCGCCGAGAACCGCCGAAGGAATGGAAAACCTCGACTCTCAGGACTTTGACGACCCTCGATGCATCCCGCCTTGAGCCTATCCCACCTCTGCTTACAACGTTGCCGCTGAGCCTCCAGGGCGCCGGGGTAGAACAGCAGCGGGAAGCGGATCTGGTTCAGCAAGGTCAGGGCCGTGAACACGGTGGCTGGGTTGAAGACGGCGCCTCCGGCGCCGGCGCCCGGACCCAGCGCGGCGTAGGCCAGCAGGACCACGGTCGTCATGAAGGGGGGCAGGGCGCTAAACACCGAGATGAGGCAGGCGCCGAGGAGGCTCCGTTTGCGCTGCGCCGCCAGCTCCTTCTCGCGCAGGCCCCGCACCTGTCGGCTACACGCAGGAGCGACCCCGGGTAAGAGTGGCCTCTGGTGCGCGGCTCGTTGGAGGCCGCGGGGGGGCCAAACACCGGCGCGCAAGTCGCCACTGCCGCCTCGCGTTCGGCGATCGGGGGGCCCCATTGGGCCTGCACCAGAGGCCACTCTGGCGAAGGGTCACTCGCACGTCTGGTCGAACCTGCTTCTCGAAGACCCCCTCCCAGCCGGTCTGCCTGATGGCGCGGATGCCGCTGAGTATCTCGCCGGTCCTGCAGGGTGTGGGCGCGCGCTGCCAGGCGATCCGCCATCGGGCCTCTGGCACGTGCGTATCGCCGGTGGACAAGCAAACCTCCATTGAGTAAAAACGGCCTGGGACCGAAACCGACGGGCCTGGACCCGCCAAAAGGACGGCCGCGGCGCCCTCGCGCGAACCGAAAACGGCCAATTCACTACTCGACGTGTCAGGGTAGGAGGTCTGTCAACCTCCGAACGTGGCGGGGTCCTCTCAGACCCTGGTCCCGAATGGCCCTTGCTACTGGAAACAGGAACTTCGCAAGGTTCACGGGTCATCGACCGCCGTGTGCTGCAGGGCGCCTCCATGGAGGACTGGTTGCCCAAAGCCCATGCCACTGGTTGCCTCCAAGATGCTCCCAGATGGCCCCGGGGGCTGGAGCTCTCTCTCCAGTTGTTCTGCTTTTGTCCACGCCCAGCGTTTGCCAGCCTCTCCGCGTCAAGTGTGAGCAAACAGGAGCATGCTGGCAGGGCGGGTGTCTTCTCACAAGAAGCTTGCGCAATCAGCAACGCTTCAAATTCGTGGCCGGCGCAATCAGGTGTACAAGCGCGACCCCATCTAGCTAGTGCGGAGGGGCAGGAGAGAGAAAGCGATAGAAGAAAGAGAGAGAGAGAGAGAGACAAAACAAAAAACAAAATAGAGAGAGAGAGGAAAAAGACGAGGAAGGAGGAGAGAGGAGGTGGGAGGACGCATGACGCGGAGGGCTTCTTGCTCTCTCCGACTGGAGGGGAGAGGGGCGCCCTCGAGAGCGCGGCTGGAGGCACAAGCTGCACTCCAGTGGCATGTGCGCCACGAGGCCCGAGGCGAGCCGCGGGGAGCCGTGGATCTTACAAGCACCCCCGAAACCAAACGCAGGCTTTGAATGTTGGTCGACGCGCGAAACGCGGCCCACAGGGTCAGATTTTTTTGTGTCTGCAGTCGCCCACTTCAGAGGAAAGAGAACTATGCGCATACGCCGATTCTGGCCCGGCCCATCCTGAGCCCAGGATCGGTGCATACGCCCCCCCTGCCTTGGCCAGGAAAGCATCTGCACCGATCCTGGGCCCAGGAGGGGCCTGGCCAGCATCGGCGCATGTGCACAGTTCTGCTCGCCCGACATCTCGGCGCGACCATGGACGCCTTGGGGTCCTGGGGCGCCGACGCGTCGCGGGACAGAAACCGTGCGCGTGACTTCGGGGGGGGGATGCGGGCAACACGAGGGGAGGGCGTGCCGGAGGAGACCCGAATTCTGCGTTCCAGGATTGCGGCCGAGCTCGCGGAGCACGTCACGAAGCCGCCGCCGGAACGCACACGGCCGCCGTGTCGGCAGCGTGCCAGACGCCGCCGTGTCCACGGCGACCCCGGTGGTCTCCATGTTTGAAACGGTGCGCGGCCCTCCCGCGAGGCCGCCGAATCTCACGACCGCCGTGGCCGTAGATTGCCAGATGCGGAGCCCAGGCTGCAGAGTGACCCCGGCAGCATTCAAACCTAAAAGTACCTTTACATGGCGGCGCCTCGCGCGCCCGACAATGACACTGGGAGAGAGTGGCCCGAGGCAGATGCCCAACCCAAAGCACAGAGCCGCCCTGGCATCAAAGACACCTCGAGAGTGCACGAGATGGGGCGGGGCGTCCAGACCTCGAGAGTCACAGCCGAGGCTGGACTGCTCCGAGCAGGGCGCCCCGCGCGCGAGCAAGAGGTGGAGAGGCAGGCTCCGAGCCGATGGCCACCGCAAACACCGCGGCAGACGAGCCCGAGCACAGCTCACGCGTGGCGGGCCTGGGCCGCGGCGGCACCCCACGAGGCCGCGCCCCGCGCGTGGCGGCGCGCGCCCGCCGCCGGCTCGCCCGGCCCCGCCCCCGAGCCGCGGCGCGCCCCGGGCTCCGCGGCCGCCTGCAGCCGGGCCGCCACCGCCTCTGGCCGCGGCTGGCAGCAGAGGAAGGACACGGGCCTGGCCGCCTCGGGTTACACAGGTCGGGCGTGCCCCCCCAGAGGCGGATCTGGGAGGGGTACGTCTTGCCAGAATCCCAAGCTCGCCCTCGCTCGGACGTCCCTTCCCTGTGTTTTTTGTCGGTTTCGTGCGTGGCTTCTTCGCCAAGTGATCAAGGATGCTCCTCGATGGTCCTCGCCGAAGGGAAAATGCACACGTCCGAGCGATGCCAAGAAAAACATCAAAAATGATTCCTTAGGTGTATATACATATATACACATATAGATAAGAAGAAGACGTCGACAAATCGACCCCTGACCACTCTTTGACTATTAGTTTGAATACTCCTCCTGAGCAGGGACACGCCCGACGCAGGCCTCGGGCCCCTGCCGCGGCGGCGCGCCCCCAGCGTGCCCGCCCTCGCCGCGCGCGGCGGGCTCCCGGCATAGCTGCCCGCTCGCCAGCGCGGCGGCCAGCAGCGCCGCCGCCGCGGGCGCCCCCAGCCGCGCCCACCCGGGCGGGCGGCGGGCAGGGCCCTCCAGGAGCAGCCTGCGCACGCTCGTCGTCGTCGTCGTCGTCGTCGTCGTCGTCGTCGTCGTCGTCGTCGTGAGTCGTCGTCGTCGCCGTCGTCGCCGTCGTCGCCGTCGCCGTCGCCGTCGCCGTCGCCGTCGCCCTCCCGGAGCAGCCTGTGCACGGGACGCACAAAGACATACCAGTAATATATGTGTATGTATATATATATATATATATATATATATATATATATATATATATGCATTCCTTTTCCTATATGTTTATAAGCCCGGGCGGAGGAAAAATCCGTCACCCCCCCCTCCAAAAACCGGACTCCCGGGATCTGGGGCTTTGGAACCCTCCGGACGGGCCTCGAAGCGACTCCCCGGGCCTCGCAGGGCGTTTCGCCAAGCCTTCCAAACACCCAGACGGGTTCCAGGCGTTCCGGCGCGCTCCCGAAACGACCCCAGAGAGCCCCAATACGGTCCACGACGACGCCCACGAAGCCGTCATACCCCCAAAGATCGCTCCGAAGCGTCTCAAGAGGCCTCCAAGAGCACTCCCAAGAAGGACCCAAGAGGCAAAAATATGTGATTGTCCATTGGTTTTTGGTGAATTTTGGGGTTCTCCTCTTTTCGGCTTCCCGACGCTCCAAGACGGCGGTCTTCTGGGCGTCCGAAGCCGCCTGGCAGGCTCCAAAATCGCCCCACAACTATCCGAAAAGGCTTCCAGGCAGTCCAAGACAGCCCCAAAACGGCACAACAGGGGTCCAAGATGGCCCTAAGAGTGTCCATGGCGGCCCAAGATGGCCCGAAGACACGCTCTGAAGCATTCCAAATCGTGACCCAGTCATTCAAGGAGACCGCGGTTGGAGGCAGGGTGGCCCGAGGAAGCCCCCAGAGGACCCCAGAACACGCCCAGGAGGCCTCCAAAAGGCCTTGAGAAAGCCTGACAAATTTTGTGAGGCCCACAGAGGCTCTCCAAGGAGGAGCCTGCGCAAAAAAGAACTGAGGAGGATGGGGAGAATGCGCAGGGTGTGGCGAGAATGAAGAAACATAAGCATGGAGGAACGATAACGAAAAAAAAATGATAAGGACGATGCCCGAAAAGGCAACAAGGAGTTATCGCTAAATTGGCGGTTTGACCTTCCTGCCATCCCGCCTGCATGCCGAACTTCAAGGACCAAGGTGCATGGCGCCAAGCGCCAATGCAGTCTTGTATATATATATATATATATATATAGATGTGTCCTCCTTGGAGGCGCACGTCCGACCCGAACATGTAGTAGAGCCATCCTTGTAGTCTATCGGCTCCCGAACGGTATGGCCAGAAAGCGCCCGCCACGACGCATACTAGAAGATTTCTCTGTGCGCGCGTCGCCCCTTGGGGGGCGACGCACACATAGTATAAGTAGGTTGGGGTGACGCCGATGCGCACGCTTGTCGTCGTCGCCGTCGCCGTCGCCGTGGCCTGCGCCCGCTTGCCAGGAGGGCGGACCACGCGCTCTCCGCATGTCCGTGGCCGTCGCTGGCGGTGGGCGGCCTAGCGGGCGGCGGTGCGGTGCCCGCCGGCGTGCCGTCGGCGCGGGTCGCCTGGCCGAGCGCGCGGTCGAGCGGCGCCAGGGACAGCGCGTCGGCCACGACAGCAAGGGTGCAGCAGCGAGCCACGAGCCTGCATGGATTGGTGTACATTTCGCGGGCGCGAGCCGAGCAAGACCTCGGGCCGAGCAAACCTCGCCGAGGTGACGTGAGCAAAGCTCGGGCCCAGAAGCGCGTTGGCAAAAACGGCTACGGACTTGCGGTGGTTGTTGGCGGCCATGGGGTCCCTAAAGCCAAACTCGTGGAACAACTTGTGTTTTGCTGTGTGATTGTACCGTTGTCACCCTTTCGGGCCAAGCGCGCCCAAGATGCCGCATGAGGCACCAGGGAGGGCCCAATAGACGACCTGCGGGGCATCCGAAGAGGGGCACGAGAGGCTCGACAGGACGACCGTAGACTCCAGGAACACGGATGATACAATCCGCCCCCAACAGGGCGCTCAAACGGGCCTCTGAAAGGAACTCCGAAGCCGAAGCGCCTCCTTCGAGGGTGCGTGTCTGTGGTGTCCCCCCCTGGCGGCGCCTTGGAGAGGTCACATTGTGAATGCGGCTGCCAACGCCGAGGCTGCGGTGCGGCCCTCGCGGCCTCCTGCTGCAAAGCACCCCGCACGAGGCCCAGGTGGCCCAGGGCGGCTTCAAAGTGAAACGAAACGCTGTGGGCACCCTGGGTCACAGACACATTCCCAGAGATCCGATGTGCGGTTTCTGTTCCATACAGGTCCCTCAGATAAGGAACCGAACTCTACACACCGACGCGGTTTCCAGCCCTGCATTGGCATTCGCACAGGAACGCGGACCCTGGTGTATACGGGATTATGGTGTGTACATTTTGCCGTTGTCTCCCCGGGAGCGCAAAGAAACATATACACCACACCACCCCGACGTCGCTCCCGACCACCAACAACTCTTGGTATTGAAAAACAACACGCCACTAGTACTATATATTTTCCAAGTTACGAGAAGAAGTCTCGGCTTTTTCCACGAGGCGATTGTTTCGCCTTGGATCGTCGCGCGCTGATCCCAGATCCCCGCGAGAGGCCCAAAAACCAAACGGAAGGCAGGCTCGTCACAGAGTCACTCGCCAAGCAGACCCATATTAGTGCAACATACAAGGCATTCTTTGTACACGCGCCTCAGGCTCGCCTGGCAACGGCTACGCCGCGCCACGGTCGCCGAGAAGCGGTTGACTGCGCAACTTCCTTTGGTTTCCTGTCTAGGACTGAGTCTGCCCACTCTTTCGGGCACCCCTGGTCCAGTCCGTCTCCAGCGTTTCGGCGTGTGGTTGGCTATCGCCTTCAGGACCTGCCACAACAAACCACGCGGGGCAGGCCGACGCTGTCACGAACGATGCCTCTGTTTCCGACTGTGCGAAAACACCACGCGTACCTCTTGAATGCAAGGAGACGCTGTGTCTGTCTGTATTCTGGGACTCCTTCGTGCACACCGAAACTGCCAAAGATCTCAAGCCAGGATCTGAGACCCTGCTGATTTGGCCTTCGAAGAAGGGAAGAAACAACTGCCCCCTCTTTCGTGACACCGCCGGCAACCGCGTCTCAGCCGGGTGCCTGCCCCCTTTGCCTTGCGCGGACTATAACCACGGCACAGGGGTGTGAACCACCTGGCCCTTGCGTTAGGCGCTCGTGGACAATCAGAGCGCACCTGCGAAGCCCGCCTTTCGGCAAAACCGCCATTGCTACCTCCCTGACTGCGGGGACAAAGGCCGCACCACCGATCACGAGCTCCTGGAGAGACGTTCGGCTGATAACCAGTCATTCGCCAAGCATGCCCATATTAGTGCAACATACAAGGCATTCTTTGTGCACGCGCCCCAGGCTCGCCTGGCAACGGCTATACCGTGCCAGGGTCGCCGAGAAGCGGTTGACTGCGCAACTTCGTTTGGTTTCCTTTCTGGTCTAGGACTGAAGCTGCCCACTCTTTCGGGCACCCCTGATCCAATCTTTCGGGCACCCCTGGCCCAGTCCGTCTCCAGCGTTTCGGCGTGTGGTTGGCTATCGTCTTCAGGACCTGCGTTGGTTATCCTTTTTTCCAGGACCCGCCAAGACCAACCACACGGGGCAGGCCGACGCTGTCACGAACGATGCCTCTGTTTCCGACTGTGCGGAAACACCACGCGTACCTCTCGAATGCAAAAACACACTGTGTCTGGCTTGTGTTCTGGGACTCCTTCGTACACCAAAGTTGCCAGAAGATGTCCAGCCAGGCTCTGAAACCCTGCTGAGTTGGCCTTCGAAGAAGGGAAGAAACAACTGCCCCCTCTTTCGTGACACCGCCGGCAACCGCGTCTCAGCCGGGTGCCTGCCCCCTTTGCCTTGCGCGGACTATAACCACGGCCCAGTGGTGTGAACCACCTGACCCCTGCGTTAGGTGCTCGTGGACAATCAGAACGCACCTGCGAAGCCCGCCTTTCGGCAAAACCGCCATTACTACCTCCCCGGCTGCGGGGACAAAGGCCGCACCACCGATCACGAGCTCCTGGAGAGACGCTCGGCTGATAACCAGTCATTCGCCAAGCGTGCCCATATTAGTGCAACATACAAGGCATTCTTTGTGCACGCGCCTCAGGCTCGCCTGGCAACAGCTAAACCGCGCCAGGGTCGCCGAGAAGCGGTTGACTGCGCAACTTCCTTTGGTTTCCTTTCTGGTCTAGGACTGAGTCTGCCCACTCTTTCGGGCACCCCTGATCCAATCTTTCGGGCACCCCTGGTCCAGTCCGTCTCCAGCGTTTCGGCGTGTGGTTGGTTATCCTTTTCAGGACCCGCCACGACCAACCACACGGGGCAGGCCGACGCTGTCACGAACGATGCCTCTGTTTCCGACTGTGCGGAAACACCACGCGTACCTCTTGAATGCAAAAACACACTGTGTCTGGCTTGTGTTCTGGGACTCCTTCGTACACCAAAGTTGCCAGAAGATGTCCAGCCAGGCTCTGAAACCCTGCTGAGTTGGCCTTCGAAGAAGGGAAGAAACAACTGCCCCCTCTTTCGTGACACCGCCGGCAACCGCGTCTCAGCCGGGTGCCTGCCCCCTTTGCCTTGCGCGGACTATAACCACGGCCCAGGGGTGTGAACCACCTGGCCCCTGCGTTAGGCGCTCGTGGACAATCAGAACGCACCTGCGAAGCCCGCTTTTCGGCAAAACCGCCATTACTACCTCCCCGGCTGTGGGGACAAAGGCCGCACCACCGATCACGAGTTCCTGCAGAGACGTTCGGCTGATAACCAGTCATTCGCCAAGCATGCCCATATTAGTGCAACATAGAAGGCACTCTTTGTGCACGCGCCTCAGGCTCGCCTGGCAACCGGTAAACCGCGCCAGGGTCGCCGAGAAGCGGTTGACTGCGCAACCTCCTTTGGTTTCCTTTCTGGTCTAGGACTGAGTCTGCCCACTCTGTCGGGCACCCCTGATCCAGTCTTTCGGGCACCCCTGGTCCAGTCCGTCTCCAGCGTTTCGGCGTGTGGTTGGCTATCCTCTTCAGGACCCGCCACGACCAACCGCACGGGGCAGGCCGACACTGTCACGAACGATGCCCCTGTTTCCGACTGTGCGAAAACACCACGCGTACCTCTTGAATGCAAAGGCACACTGTGTCTGGCTGTCTTCTGGGACTCCTTCGTACACCAAAACTGCCAGAAGATGTCAAGCCAGGCTCGGTGAACCTGCTGTTTTGGCACTCGAAGAAGGGAGGCAACAACTCACAGGGCTGATCGGCGGGCTGGGTGTGCGGGGTCTCGCAGTCCCCTCCGACAAACTCCCCACAAACCCTGCGACCGCTGGTGCGGACGCTGGTGCCTTCCAGGAACTCATAATATATCGCCCGACGCGGCCCAAAACGTCCCTAAGGCGCCCCGTAGATGGGCCAAGAGGCGACCAGGCCCGAAGCCTGCTAGAGAGCGCCCCAAAATAGCCCCAACACGGCCCAAGAGGCTCCCGAGAGGACCCCCTAAGAAACAAACCGTGTCAAACAGAAATAATGTGTTATTTGGTATGTTGTTGTGCGGTTTTTACCGAACCCGCTTGTTGGATTTCAAACCGCTCACGACGACCCAAGAGATCCCAAAGAGGCCCGCAAGATCGCACCAAGAGAAATTTAAAGGCCATATGGCCAGAAAAGGGAGCCAATCTGAGGTGTCTGTCCACCACGGGGGCACCACAGCGTCCCTGGAGAGTACCCCGACGGAGCTCAAGAGAGAGCCCAAGAGAGCCCTCAGTTTCGAGAGTACCACAATAAGGCCCCACGACGTCCTCGATGGCCCCTGATGGCAGCCCAAGAGGGTCAATGTGACTGCGAATGCCCTTAGGCTTCTAGACTGCATAGGAGGGCCCGTCAGAGGATTCGATTTCGAACAAGTTGGGCAACTTATCACCCTTGCGCCGTGGACGCACTTCCGCTCGACCGACAGTAGGCCGCACAGGAGTGTCTGAAAGGCAGCGGGCGGCGGTGATTCGCCGCCGCTGCCTCCTCGTTCTCGAAAAAAGAATTGCATATGTCCTCATACAGGCGGATTTTGGGGCAAGGAGAAAATCCAACGATTTTCAAAAATAGTCCAACATATTTAAAAACAATAAAATCGTCCCCATACTATGGTTTGACTATTTTTTAATATTCCTCCTGTAGGGGGACACGCGCGACTAAACCTGGGGGGGGGGAGAAGCGTCCACCTTTGCCCTTTCGGGGCCCCTTTCACAGGGCTCCTTCAGGACACCAGAGGTGCACCCTTCCTCGCCCCCCTTCGTGCATCGCCCCCATCCCCCCCCGCTGACGCCAAGCCCGAGGGAAGGGGACTCGGGAGCTGGATGGGGGGCGAGACAGCGATCGACAGCGATCCGCGCCCGATCGGTGCTCGCCCTCTCTGCCCCTCCCCTCGGAGAGGCCGCGGAGAGGGCGACGTCCGCAACACCAGTGGGGGCAGCTGGGACCAGGGGGGGGCGCAGCCGACTACGAAGACCAGGGGCCCTTCTACTCCTCTGCTTCCTCCACCTCCTTCTCCACCTCGTCGTCCTCCTCCTCCTCTTCCTCCTCCTCCTCGTCGCTCTCCTCCTCCTCCTCCTCCTCCTCCTCCTCCTCCTCCTCTT